TTCTCAGAACACCACACAACTGGTGGAAGGCTTTCTTCTTTCTATAGCGCTTTGGTAAAAAATTTGGAAATTAGAGATCACAGGAGTCATGACATGGCATTGACCCCAAGGCCCCGCCTTTCACACTCTGGACACAGTTGAGCTGAGCAGTATGACCAGACCCTAAAGTCCAGCTTGACTGAGTCTTCCTCTCCTTCAATGCTTCCAGGAACCTCCGTGATGCAGGTCTCGGCCACAGATGCCGACGACGAAGTGAACACCTACAATGCTGCCATTTATTATGACATCCTCTCCCAAGATCCCGAGATGCCTGACAAGAAAATGTTCACCATCAACAGGGAAACAGGAGTCATCAGCGTGCTCACCACTGGGCTGGACTGTGAGGTCAGGGCGGGAGACATCCAGAGGGTATTGTGGGCAAACACACATTAGCTAAATCCATGGACAACACAAAACTCTGCTGAGGCCAGTTACCACTTGTACGGTGATTGTCTGGGCTTTGCATCTAAACACCTGTCCAGAGGCTTTGTGCCTAGCAGGCAGGCATGTCTGTGCTAGGGGCTGGGCCAGATGTGGCTGTCGGTCTTAACTTGGTTGTGTTCGACCTCTCTGCAGAGTATTTCCAAGTATACCCTGGTGGTTCAAGCTGCTGACCTTCAAGGTGAAGGCTTAAGCACAACCGCAGAAGCTGTGATCACGGTCACTGACATCAACGACAACCCTCCGATCTTCAACCCGACCACGGTAATTCTGCAACTCCTTAGACAGTTTCCAAAAAAAAGGTCCTCTGTTGCTTCACAACTGTTCATGGATGAAGCCTTTGAAAACTTTGCCCAGACCAGTGAACTTGAAGAAGCAAGCAGATTTGGGTGGCAGTTGTCTCTGTCGGGGGCCTCCTGGCAAAATTTTGTGAAGTTGCAAAAAACACCTACTGAATCCATGTCCTCATATTGTGCATCTTGGTAGCAAATCTTATCAGGGTCTATTTATTCACTGAACAAACATTTTCTGAGTTTATGCCAGGCACTGTGTTAGACACTGGAGACATGATCACAAACAAGGCGGACAAAGATGCTGTTTTCATGGAGTTTATAGTCTAGTTAGGGAGATGTTAAGCAACTTATATAAATTATTGTGTGCAATTGTATTAAATGCAGCCCAGGAGAAGGGACTAAGAGCCACATGGAAGAACCTTAGCCTTATTGTATCAGTTAGAAATCAGCTTTCTGGTTAGTAACAGAAACTAGACCCTTGGGATTTAAACAAATAGGGTTGACTTTTTCCTCTGTGTCACAAAAAGCCCAGAGGTGGATAGGCCACTCTGTCATTAGAAACCAGGTTTCCTGTGTCTTGCTGTCCCACCATCCTTGGTGCATGACTTCTGTCCTCAATGTTACCTTGTGGCCCAAGATAGCTGCTGGAGCTCCAGCCATATCTGTGCTTCTTTCAGGAAGGAGGCAAGGGCAGGGGGTGCAAAAGGCATTGCTGCTAAGTCAAGTCCTCTTATTTCTGGGAAGACCTATCTCACAAGTTTTGTTTACATCTCGTTAGCAAGTGCTGTCTGTAAGGAAGACTGGAAATACAGTATTTTATTTGGGAACATTGCTGCCACCAACAATATAGTTAGTGAAGAAAGGGAGAATGGATATTCAATAGGCAATTAACAGTATCTGCCACCCTAACCCAGGCATTGTGACAGTAACATATACAGTAAGACTTGAAAGGTTGGCAATGTGGGACAGGGGAGGGTGGAACAGTGTTCTAGGCAGAGGGATCAGCACATGCAAAATTCCCTGAATCAAGAGAAAGCTTGATGCATAGCAAGAACTAAAAAACAGTGTAGTGAACCAGATGAGGTTGGGTCCTGCAGGACCTTGTAGACTGAGTTAAGCATTTTAGAATTTATCCTGAGTGCAAGGGGATGTCATCAAATGGTTCTAAGCAGAAGGCTGTAATGACTAGGCTTTCGTTTTATGCAAATTATCGGTACCACTGTGAATGATAGGGGATGAGGGGGGTGGTGGCTAAACCACAATGCCTTACACTTAGTCACTAAGATCACACAGGGCTAGAGTGTGCTAGGGGCTGGGAAAGCCAGAGCCTTGGAAAGCTACTTCAGGTCCTCATGGAGGAGGATGTTCCTGAGTGCTAGCTGATCCACCAACAGGAAATACTCGCAATGAGTGGCCATTTTCTCTGAGACTCTTTTCTGCAAGGCTTGGGCTCAGAAAGGATTCTCTTAGTCCCCCAAGACCTGGTTCCACTACTGAGTCTCAGGATGTCATAAGTGACCCATCTCCTCCTTTGCTCTGCAGTACCAGGGGCAAGTTCTTGAGAATGAGGCTTTTGTCACAATCGCTACCCTCAAAGTGACTGATGCTGACCTGCCCAATACCCCGGCGTGGGAGGCTGTATACAACATATTAAATAACAACGAGGAGCAATTTGTTGTCACCACAGACCCAGTAACCAACGACGGCATTTTGAAAACGGCTAAGGTTTGTATGGTGCCTGGCAAGATGCAGAAACTGACAGCTCAGTGAGCTGCCTACTTCCATGTCCCCTGGACCCCTGGTGTCTTCTCCAAAGATTAGCATGCCAGTGGTGGGGTAGGGGTAGCCGGCTTTCCTAGGTTCTGGTGGGCCCATTGGGGTTTGCAGTGACTCCAGCCTCCTGGGAGAAGTCAGGAAGCTCCCGCCCAGCATCCTAAAATTAAAGAGGAAGTACCATCTGTTTCTTTCCCAGAAACATTGACCTACCCCCTGTAGCCATTTTGCAAATGCCAGGGAAAAGGGTTTACTGGACTCTGCTATTTTGCTGGATTATTTTAGAAGTGGGGCAAATATGACTGTTTTTAAAAGATGTCCTGGAAACTTGAAAACTAAGAAGTTGAGTGATTTCTTTGTTGAAGTTAGTCAAAGAGTTAGCAGATCCCTAGATTAGCCCCAGAACTATGACTTCTTCTTGAGCAAGTGAGCAGACCCTCTGTTTCCGAATTACTTAGTACATAATCTTATCTCCCCCTGAACATTTGAGGTTAACATTTTCTGTTATGCTATCAACAGAAGAAAGAAGCTAATAATCGGAGTTCCTACCACACATGAGGTCCTTTATAAAAGCTCCCAGTTGGTTCCTTACAGCCCTTCTGGGAGGTAGCTCCTTTTCCTACTCAGGTGTGGACACAGACTGAGAGGTTAAGTGGCCCAAGTCACACAGCCAGGAAATGGCCCCGCCTGGGGCTTGACCTGGTTGCTGACTGATTCTGAACTCCATGTCCTTGACACTAAGCTTCCGGGCTTGCTGAGGTGGACAAGCAGGCTCTTCTGTCCCTCTGCTGTGGACATCATGTGGACAGCATATCACAGAGGATGTGAGCATTCTCACTGGTCCTGACTTAATGTGCTAGCGTTTGGTAACTGAGGTTTGCCGTTTGAGATTTCATGTAGTTTGTCTTCTCCTCCTGGGGTTCTCAACTCGAATGCAGCCAGATTTGAGAACCACTGGTGCAGTGCTAACCAAAAGCAATTGTTAAGGATTTAACTTTTTTTTTTTCTACTAACGTAAGATTTTTAAAAAACTCATTTTTTCTGTTCTTTAGGGCTTGGATTTTGAGGCGAAACAGCAATACATTCTCTACGTGACAGTAGAGAATGTGGCCCCCTTTGAGGTCACTCTGTCCACGTCCACAGCCACCGTCACCGTGGATGTGCTGGATGTGAACGAAGCCCCCATCTTCGTGCCTCCTCAAAAGAGAGTGGAGGTGTCCGAAGACTTTCCAGTGGGACAGGAAATCACATCCTACACTGCCCAGGATCCAGACACATTTATGGAACAGAAGATAACGTAAGTGTGGATGTTTCAACTGACTTGCAGCAACTGGGTGTGTGTGTGTGTGTGTGTATATAAAATATTTAGTTTATAGTATTTGATCATCATTGTGCAAGACCCTTCTCTTAATTGGCTTTTTAAAAAGCAATTCCTTTTTATCCCTGTTCCCCATACTTGTCCCATTCCCTCCACTGTCAGCCACTCTAGGTATACTGTGCTTCCTCTCTGAGTTCATGAAGTATATAGTAGGAATGGTTTTAATTTACATACATGGTATTGTTTATAAGTAGCTTAGTGTTTCTCCTCTTTAAACTTGAAGGCACAGCCACAGATACTGAAAATGCATACAAACCAGCAGCAACACCCTCGTGATCATGTATGATAAAGAGTGATCTTAATCTTTTGAGAGCTGGATTTGAGTAGGAAAAACTAGTAGAGCGCAAACCCAAACATGACACGTGTGCCTTGTTAGTAATAGTGTGATTTTCAGGGTTAATAGAGGCTTTGGCCAATGTGCCTGCTTCCTTTTCTCAGAGAGACAGATTCCTACCTGTTAATATCTACTTTAGAGGAACCTGTCGGAAAGCTCTGAACTATTTATAAAAAAATGTTATGCAAATCCAGAGTAGAGTCATGCCTGGTAATTGAGTGTGTTCGTGTTTTGGCGGGAAGGGAGGGTATTTGTATTTTAGCTTCAGTACCTAGAACTTACGAAACGTAAACAAAATGTAAGTGTAACTTCAACTTGTGAGTTACTCTGGGAAGTGCCAATTCTATCCTGAGTGAAAGGGCTTACAGGTACCTTTAAACCACTCACGTGCACTGTACAGCATGAGCTGTGTAAAGGGTTCAGGTAGTGACTTAGTGGCTGCTAGCATTGTTAGACCAGGGACCATGGGGAATTTTTAAAATGGAGGAACCAGGCTGATAACTCCCAAACCTTCTGATTAATTTTAACATTTACTAAAAAAGCAAGGACAACTCCACCTGATGTGCTTGATGGGATTGAATAGCATGTGCACAGCGCCGCTGAAGAAACAGTTTTTGGAGAAAACAAAAGTTGAAACAGAATCTAATCAAGTCTTAGGATCTGATTTTGAAGAATGCATGGAATGAAGAAACAAGTTAAATGCCATGAGGAAGCAGTCAGCCAAATATAGAATGTGGAAACACATGACAAATGACACGGTTTCTTCAAATAAATGGCAGAAGACTGGGGTGACCGCTGTAGATTAAAGAGTACTAAGAGACAACTCAGTCAATTGTCATGCGTAGACTATGCTGGAATACGGATTCAGCAATCCAACTATAAAAGACACCTTGAGGCAATTAGAGAAATTTGAACATAGACTTGGCATTAGATGACATTAAGTAATTATTATTGTTTTTGTCAAGTGTGTTAGTGGTGTCATGATTCTGTTTTTTTAAAAAACTTATCTATGGAAGATACATGCTGAAGTGTTTACAGGAGAAATCTTATGATGTTTGAGATTTGCTGTAAAATATTCTAATTTTCAACATGTAGTCAATGTACTGCTCGTAATCCAAGGATTCTTCTAGGTGTTCCAAAATATAAGGGCTGATAAGATGCGATTTTAATCAAAGTTCAAAAAGATAGTGAAGAACCAAAGGCGATATTGTAAGGTTTTTTTTCAGTGATAAAGCTTTGGATTGTATGGTTTCCAGGCTGGGTTGATATCTTAGCTTGCAGTAGTGAAATAGTTCAAAGCCTCTCTATGGACAAATTCAGAGACAAAGTCTTAATATTGTGTGTAGAGGCCCTTACCCCTAGATAAAGAGCACTCTATGTAGTACATTGCTTTGTATTTCTAAGAAAGTGAGGATAAGCCCACAGGTATCCAAGGCCTTTGCCTCCTTTCTTTGATTCCCTTTTAGCTCTGCCAGACAATTTGGCTCCTTCCAGGCTATTTCTATGTATTTGAATACATTTGAATACACTTATGTACATGATTCTGCAAGACCCCAGTGGATGACTGGGCGGCATATACCTGTTTTTCATTCCTTTGTTTCCTCTGATGGACCGTTTCTGGTACCCTTCATAAGGTGTTGCTTAATAGGATTCTCTTGGCATATTGAATAAAACATTTTTTTAAAAAATTTTGCTCCATAAGACCAGAAGGAACTTTAGCCTCTCTGACACCCACCATTAAATGCCAATAATGCAACCCACCCCAAGTCACCGTGTCAAACCACATCTCCAAATGCTCATGGCTTAGGTGTTGAGTGACACCACCATTTGAGAACTACTGTACCCTTTGGGGAGCTGTTCTGAAACAGTCTGCTTTTAAAAATGCATAAGGATCACAGTACTCATTATTCAGGCAAGACTTATCCATTTAGATGCTAAATCTATCAGATGAAATTTAATTGGTGAACAAGGGTATCCTTAAGTTACCTCCCCTCAGATCATAGGTTAATTGCAAAGGAGAGGAAAGTACCTTTACTGTGAAGAAATCTAGTGGCCTCTCTGTTATCCAAGTGATCAAAGTGACATGAGTAAAGAACAAACAGATGCCATATGCCTTCTAATGAGATGCATCACCTGTGTAGTGGTTTTGCTCCTCTCCCCACAAAAGAATAACTGAATCTAATTATCAGCAAATAATCAGACAAACCCAAACTAAGGGCCTTTCTACAAAAAATTGGCCTGCATGTTTCAAAAGTATCAGTGTCAAGAAAGTAAAGAAAGGCTAAGGAATGGATCTGAATTAATGGAAACTAAAGAAACATGACAACTGGGCCGGCCAAGTGGCCTCTAGGTTAAGAGTTGGCTTGGGAGCGCCAGCTCTGAGCAGCAGGGCCCCACTTTGGATCTCACATGAGGGCCAGTGATGCTGCGCCCTCTACCGCTAAGATGGTGAACAACAGCTCGACCTGGAGCTGGGCTGCCGTGAGTTGCTGGTGATGCTGTAGGCTGCAGAAGGGCTACTGCGAGTGGCTGGCAACCAGCGTGAGTGGCCGGCAGCCAGAGTGAGCTGCCATGAGCCACCATGAGCGGCCATCCAGTGGCTGGCGACCGATCTGCCTCAGCTGGGAAGAGCACAATGATGACAATACCAACATGGGCCAGTGAAGCAACGTCCTCTACAACTAGACTGAAGAACCAAAGGGCAGCAACTTGTCTGTTCCCCTTCCCTGATTCCCCAATAAAATTAAAAAAAAAGAAAGAAAGAAACATGACAACTGAGTGCCATGCATGATCCTGGATTGGATCCTGAATTGGGGGGCAGGGATGCTATGAAGGACAGTGTTGGGAAAATTGACAATTTGAATACGTTTTATATATTTAATAATAGTATTATATAAAAATTATATTTCCTGAAATCAGAAATCAAATTGTGATTATGTAAGAGAATGTCTCTGTTCTTTGGAGATAACACATTGAAGTATTTATGAGTAAAGGAACATGATGTCTACAACTTATTCTCTAATGGTTCAGCAAAATAAAAAATGCCTATGCATGTCAACCTCTGTATATCATAATGTATTAACAATGGGCGAATCTGGATGAAGAGTACATGGATGGTCAGCATGCTTTCCTGGCAACTTTTATATAGGTATGATTTTTAAAAAACAGAAGCTGAAAATGTTAGGGAAGTTGGAAAAATGTTAAAACGAGAAAATGGAGAAGTTGGTACCACTGTCAAGAAAGAAGAGCTTTATAGACTTCATCAGCTATATATATGCTGTTAGCTGTTCCCATTCTAAGCCAGATCTTGTGCCTTTTCAGGTATCGGATTTGGAGGGACACTGCCAACTGGCTGGAGATTGATCCGGACACTGGTGCCATTTCCACTCGGGCTGAGATGGACAGAGAGGACATTGAGCATGTGAAGAACAGCACATACACAGCCCTCATTATAGCCACTGACAATGGTAAGGGCACCCTTCCCAGCTGGCCTTGCGGCCTCACGCAGCTTGCTTCCTTGCCCCCTACCATTCTTTTGGAGGCATGAGTTCAGTTTTTTCTCTTTTATTCTAAACAAAAGCATTCTCATTGTCAAAAATGCAAATAATTTAGGTCAAGCAGGAGTTCCTTTTCATCACTCCCTGTCTGTCTATCCTCAAACCCCACTCCTTTGCGATGGGGGCCAGACCACCTTGGTTTAGATCCTAGGACCAAAGCTTAATACCTGTGTGACCTTGGACTTAACGACCTAATTGTTAATGTCCCTCAATTCCTTTATCTGACAAAATGCTAATAATACCCCATCAGAATTAAATGAGTTAATTTGTGTAAAAAATACCTAGAAGAGTGTCTGCTACATAGTACATGCTCTATAAGGACTGTCATTATTATTATTATTATTATTCTTAGTGAAGTTTGTCTCCTTCCAGACTATTTCTGTGTATTTGAATACATTTATGTATATGTAGAAATATAATTTATTTTAAAACCACTATCTGGTTTATAGCCTGTTTTTGGTTTTATGAAAAAAAAAAACATTATCTTATACATGTTGTTTTAAGTTAAAAAAAATTTTGTTTTTTTTTTACTTGGATATATGTCTTTAAGACACACAGATCTACCATGGCACATAATAGATCTGCAGGCATACCTTGGAGATGTTGTAGGTTCAGTTCTAGACTACCTCAAAGTGACTTGTAATTTTTTTGCTGGTGAAGGGTCTTGCCCTCAGTTTGTAAAAAGATGCAACATCTGTGAAGCTCAATAAAGAGGTATAGGCCTATACCTCTTTTCAATAAAATGATGCTATCAGGATATAGCATAATTTAATCATTCACGCATTACAAGACCCCTGGGGTTGTTTCCAGTTCTTCATTATTTACGTGAGTGATAAGTAAACATCCTTGTACATGCCTCTATGTGCAACTATTTCCCTTGGATAGATATTCAGAAGCAGAATTACTGCTAAAGAGACCTGCTCACTTCCTGTGATTAAATTCTCTTCCTCTTTCTCATGCCTCAACCTCCCGAGGTAGTAATTCCAGACTTGACAATCTAGAAAGCAGAGGAAAAGGCAAATAAGGCCTTGATGGGGCTCTATTCGCAGAATGCTTTTATGTAAAGGAAAAGCTAACCCATTGCTTCAGCTGGTGTTCCATGCTGGCCAGCTATTTATGGCTGCATGGAATTCCCTAGCATGGCCTGAGATAAGCTGAGGAAATAGTACCCAAGCCAAGGCTGACAAACTTTCTGTAAAGGGCCAGGGAATAAATATTTTAGCCCCTGAGTCTCTGCTGCCATTGCAGTCTAGAAGCAGCCATAGACAATCTATGAAGGAACGAGTACAGCTGTGTTCCTGATTGGTCCAGAAGGCCTTAGTTTGCTGACCCTTCACCTGATAATGGCTAAGGTGTGGTTGTTCTGAACGATCCCTTCAAGTGCTACTTTGTGCATGACTCAGTACTTGACGTAGGTCTAAGAGGAGAATGAAGTTTCATCAGAAAATCTGTTAGCTCATTAAATATTTTTTAATTAAAAATTTTTTTAATTAAAAAAATTTTAATGAATGATACCTGCTCATTGTTAAAACAAGAATATTTACATAATAAGGTGAAAAGTCCATCCACGGATGACTATTGGATAAAAAAATGTGGTATATACACACAACGGAATATTATTCAGTCTTAAAAAGGAAGGAAATCCTGTCAAATGTTATGACATGAATGAACAGTGACAACATTATACTAATTGAAATAAGCCAGTCACAAAAAAGAAAAATACTGTATGGTTCCATTTACATGAGGTAGTAAAGTAGTCAAATTAATAGAAACAGAAAGTAAAATGGTGGTTACCAGGAACTGGAGGGGAAAATGTGGAATTGTTTCATGGATAGTTTCAGTTTTGCAAGGTGAAAAAGTTCTGGAGAGCTGTTTCCCAACAATATGAATATATTAACATTATTGAACTGTACACTTAAAAACATGGTAAATTTTATGTGCTTTTTTTTTAAACCACATGAAAAAAAAAGGCAAAAAGAAAAAATAATCACTATAGATTTGCCACCCAGGTATAACTTTATAGGTTTGAGATATAGTCCTCTGGGTTTGTTTTTTTTCCCCTGTAATATACTAGTATTGATGATGATGATGATGATGATGATTCCTTGAGTTATCTACATTTTCTGCTACCACATGCCAGGTGCTGCATCAGGATGTAAAAGAAATGCAAACAGAAGGGCGTATGAGCTTTCAAATCTATTTTGAAAAGCAACTTGCAGCAATTTTTAAAGGCTAACCCTTTGGTAATGACCTTGAAACCACAGAAGTTCAGAAAAGTGAGAACTGGTCGGGGGTAATGAGGACTTCTTAGAGTGGTGAAAATTTAACGGATGAATAAAGGATAAGTGAAGAAGAGGAAGGAGGAGGGTACTCTTGGTGTGAAGAATAACTTGAATATTTATTGTCAAAATGGGGAATAATAAGCATGTCAGAGACCTGCCGGACCAGGAATGCAGGTGCTCTGGGATTGGCAGGACAGGAGCCAGGACGGGCTTTGGGTTCAGTCTGGTGGGAGCCAGTAGGGAATCATCAATGTTCCTGAGCTATGGTCATTCCTATGTATTTTCTCTTAGGTTCTCCACTTGCTACTGGAACGGGAACCCTTCTCTTGATCCTCTCCGATGTGAATGACAATGCCCCCGTTCCAGAACCTCGAAACATGGACTTCTGCCAGAGGAATCCACAGCCTCATATCATCAACATTATTGATCCAGACCTTCCCCCCAACACATCTCCCTTCACAGCAGAGCTGACACACGGGGCAAGTGTCAACTGGACCATTGAGTACAATGACCCAGGTGGGAACTTGAGTCTTGTTTCTAAAACTTTACTCTGATCCTCATGCTTTCCCTGCCCCAGCCTCGGCCCTCCCGTTTGAAATTCCCTTCTCAGCTTTAAGATGTCATCCCTTTCATTGGATGCTTGTTTCCTTGTCCCCTCTACATTTGAGGCATTCCACCAATGGTGCCTTTTCTTTACTGGTATCTGACTCTGTAACATACTGCCTAGTAATCTGTAACCTAAGCAGCTCTGTTCTCCTTACTCAGCTTTGGAATGTCTTTGGTTCCTTAATAATCTTATTCTACAAAAAACTTTTTTTCTCTCCTGGTTCCATCATCTACTTTTGTTGCTTCCTCTAGAACACGAATCTCTCATTTTGAAGCCAAGGAAAACCTTGGAGTTGGGTGACTACAAAATAAATCTCAAGCTCGCAGATAACCAGAACAAAGACCAGGTGACCACCTTGGACGTCTTTGTGTGTGACTGTGAAGGGGCCGTCAACAGCTGTAAGAGGAACATGGCTTATGCCGAAGCTGGGTTGCAGGTCCCTGCCATCCTGGGGATTCTTGGAGGCATCCTTGCTTTGCTAAGTAAGTGTAGCTGCAAGTGTTTCAGCCTTTCACTTGTAACATGGGGGAGGTTTATCTCTTGCTGAACATTTCAGAGGTAAGTGGTCCAAGCCTGAAAGGCAACTCGTTTTGTTAAGTCAACAGGGGGTCCAGTCCTTCTATTTTACTGTTCTTTCAATCCCTCAAGGCAGTGCTTCTCAAGCTCAAGTACATACAAATCACCTGGGCTCTTTATAACATGGGAATTTTGATCCAGTAGCTCTGGGGTAGGGCCTCAGATTCCAAATTTCTAACCAGCTCCCAGCTGGATGTTGCAGGTCCTTGAATCAGTTCAGGGCAACAAGGCCTTGGGGTGCTGTCCTCATCAGCCTGGTCGTCAGTCAGCCGGCTTACCATCCCCACCTTCATACTCCATCCTGGAGGAGGGATGATAGAGGAAGTGGAAGGCACATATCACCTTCACCCCCATCCCACTGGCCCAAACACAGCCTCACCTGGAAGTTCCCACCCTAACTGGGGGATCATGTGCCTGATTAAGTCTTGGCTGAAGGTGGGGGTGGGGGTGGAGTGTGGGGTGAACAGTGTGTATCAACTGAAAGGATGAAGGGGGAAAAGGACAGTGGAGAGAATTTGGCAATTTCTGCCATAGTCCTTAGAACTGTTACCACTTGAGCCTACCTATGGTTGGTACAGATGCTGTTAAGGTTCTAAAACCTGGCGATGGCAAGTCAATTATTGGTTTGTCGGAAAAGTCATGATGTATTTTTTCTATGTTTTTCATGGCAAAAATGCATCATGACTTTTCCGACCACCCAATAGAAAACCTTCAAAGATAGTATATAATAAAGGTGGTCTAGGTCATAAATGCCTTTGCCGTCAGAAGAGGGGGCTATTTTTTTTCCAAGTTGCAGAAAAGAACAGTTTATTAGAAGCAAAAATACATTCCAAGGAAGCAGAAGCAGGCCTGAGCAGTAGAGAACGGCTCAAGGGCCATTATTAGAAGAGAAAGTACACTCCAAAGAGTTTGGAACAGGCCGAGCAAAAGGAGCTCAAAAAGCCAGAAGAGGGGGCTATTAATTGAGTCTCAAGAAAGGTTTGGTGGAAGATGTAGGATGGTTGGGCTACAGAGACTGGTGGAATCCAGGTAGGCAGAGGGGCATTTGAGAGGGTTCCCACACTAGCAAAAGCACAGAGGGAGGAAGGCTTGATTGCAGTGTAGAGCAGGGAGGAGACCAATCTGGCTGGAGTCAAAGAAAGTTCTTAGAGCAGCGGTTCTCAACCTCCCTAATGCCGCGACCCCTTAATACAGTTCCTCATGTTGTGGTGACCCCCAACCATAAAATTATTTTCGTTGCTACTCTATAACTAATTTTGCTACTGTTATGAATCATAATGTAAATATCTTTTTGTTTTCCGATGGTCTTAGGTGACCCCTGTGAAAGGGTCGTTTGACCCCCAAAGGGGTCGCGACCCATAGGTTGAGAACCGCTGTCTTAGAGGGAGCAGTGGGACCAACTCTGGGGCTTTCAATTTAGACTCAGCACAGGTGCTATTGCTTCTGCTGCTGCTTCAATAGATTCGACAAGGGGTTTTGCTTTTGACCTTTAGGAAATGGTTTCAGTACATCCCGGTTGCTCCTGCCCTCTGCTGTCTGTGTTCTCTTAAAATTGAGAAGAAAGACAAGTGTTGTTTGGAATTCAGTGAGCTTTCTGGACCTTTGTTCCTCCAGGATTTGGGATTAGGTTAATTCACCTTCCTGTGTCATGGTCCTAGGGGTGGTAACGCAAGCTCTACCTGCCCACTTAGTTCCTCATCAAATTCTATTTGAATGTGCCAGTCTGCTTTGGGGACAGTGGTTACTGACTAGTGCTTTCATTCTGAGGGAAATATTAAAGATTGTAGTTATGCTTAAAATAGTGACTTTTTAGTAATAGCATTCCCTAAATTTGCTATGGGTATGTTTCATTAGACACAGGGGCCGAGAGCAACATTTCAGCATGTTCAAATGTGGAACAACATTTAAAACAGAAGCAATGCCCGGGTTCAGATTTCCAGCTTCTTATTCCTTATAGGCAAACATAGAACTTACACGTCTAAAGAATGCTCTAGAGAGGCACCAGGGTATGAAGGTTTTCATGTAGTCCATCAATATTTATTGCTTGCTTTGTGCCAGGCTTTGTATTAGACACTGGGGATAATGGGGTTTCGGTACCACTGAGGGGTGGGGGTGGGGGGGTGCTTCCCGAAGTGATAACAATGTGCCGTATTTTGGTTACTTTCCTTTAAGTAACATTTAAGCAATGTTTCATAAGAAGCATCCTTTTGGAAACGGTAACCTGCCTCTGGCCCTCACTTGCTCTGAGCTCCGTGTGGATGGGGAACTGTTTGCAGTCTGCACCGTCTTCAGCACGGTATCCTCAGCCCTGAGACAGGTCGTAGCCCACCCAGCAAGTGCTCGGTATTCCCGTTTAAGAATTATGGTCAAGGGAGTTATGCTGCTTATCTGGATAAGGCCTTGGAATCGTTCTGATTTCAGAAACCATAGTTAGGTTGGATACTTCTAAGAAGCCTTTTTCCCAAGTTTGTGTAACCTCCTGTTTCATTGCAATAGTGCTTCACGAGAGTGTTATATTTAGGTACTTGGGCACAAGTTTCTATAAAGAAAACACACTGAATTATATACATTTTTATTTACAATAAATAGTTTAATAGTTGTTTTTAAAAAAATTAAGTGTTCATTGTATATATCCTAGAAATATCCCAAGATCAGATGAAAGAAAACCTTGGAAATGAAACAGCTTTTAAAGCTTGCTTTCATCATTCTATTTTAAAGAGATGATAAGGAATAAACTGGGTGATTTTATAGTCTGTGTCTCACCCCACCCCCATAGCTAATTTACTATAATGTGCGTGTATCAATCATGTTTAGGCTGACCCAACCCTGCCTAAAGGCTCCAACACACTCAGAATCAAAGCCAAAGTCCTTCCAGTGGTCCGCACATCCCTGCCACCCTTCCCCAATTCTTTTCCCCTCACTCACCCTGCTACAGCCACGCTGACCTTGGCCTTCCTTAATCACACCAAGCATGCTGCTGCCCGTACCATTTCCACCGCCTGGAATATCATCCCTCAGATTTTGGGAAAAGACAGGTTTAAGATCCAGGCGTGAATTAGATGTGAATTGTATGTGAATTCAAGATCACACGAGAATTCACATATACTCGTCTACTCTGTGGTACTGCGTATGTTAACGTCATTGCCATGTGTGTTGTCTAACAGCCATCTGTCTGGTACGCCAGGCAGTGGTGCCCTGTGATACCTGCTTATGGCTTTCTTGACCTGTGGCTCTCACTGCCATCTCTTCCTCTCTTCAGTCCTGATTCTGCTGCTCCTGCTGTTTATTCGGAGAAAACGGGTGGTCAAAGAGCCCTTACTGCCCCCAGAAGACGACACCCGGGATAACATTTATTACTATGATGAAGAAGGAGGTGGAGAAGAGGACCAGGTGGGTTTTAAAAACTGTAGGGCCGGCCGAGTGGCGCGATGGTTAAGAACTGGCTTGGGATGCCAGAGGGCCCCGGTTCGGATCCCACATATGAGGGCCAGTGACACTGCCCTCTACAGCTAAGATACTGAACAACAGCTCAACCTGGAGCTGGGCTGCCGTGAGTCGCCGGCGACGGCGTAGGCTGCAGCCCCTGTGGCAGTGGGTTGCCATGGGCTACCGTGTGTAGCCAGCAGCCAGCGTGAGCGGCCAGCAGCCGCTGTGAGCGGCCGTCCAGAAGCCGGCGACTGATCTGCCTCGCCCGGGAAGAGCGCAATGATGGTGCCAACTTGGGCCAGTGAAGCAATGTCCTCCACAACTAGACTGAAGAACAAAAGGACAGCAACTTGTCTGTTCCCCTTCCCCCAATTCCCCAATAAAAATCTTAAAAAACAAAACAAACCAACAAAAAAACTGTAGTAAAAAGCTTAATGGCAATCTCTTTATTTGGAAGAAGCAATGATTAGAAGGCAGACATTTGAACTAGCTGTGTCACTTTGTATATTATCTTTTTAAAGTCTTATTCAAGACCATAGACATTATCATTGGCCACCATCCTCAATACAACACTGCTGACATTTATTGATTGCTTACTGTTCTGCACTCAGATGACTGAACAGAGGCACAGAGCAGTTAAGTGACTTGCCCAAAGTCACACAGGTAGGAAGTATTAGAACCAGGTGGTCTGACTCCAGAGCTTACTCTCCTCATCACTAGTCTCAGGACACGAATTTCATTCAAATTATCTTTGACATAGTGCAGCTGATCCGTTTTAATATTTTGTTTCCCTGGAGTTATTTTAGCTCTGCTAACCTGTTTTTTACTTTTTGTAGATGTTAAATATTTAGGCCTTCTTTATTTTTCCTGATTTTGGAGATGGTCTTAACATGCTTTACCCCGGAGTTTCCCAGAGAAGTTTTGAAAGTCTGGTGTATTTGGAAACGGAAGCATAGGACCCATCACAGAGTCCTGAGAGGGTGGGAAGGAAGTGAATATTTGCTGAATAATCTAATAATCATACCTTGTGTAAAGTTAATAAGGTAGAATAGTCTACATTTGTGTATCCACAAGTGTTCCTCACAATGCTTTTCTGCAGTATTTCCTTCTAGTGCTATTTTGGAGACTCTTAGGTTAGAAGCTGTCATTTCAGATTACACTGGCACTTGCTTGTAAATATCATACAGTTGGCAGTTAAGGCATTATCTAATACCATAATCTGTAAAACAAACAGAACCCTGTGTGTATGACTGTTTCTGTTTCACTCTTTGCTAAACCTTTACCTTTTTCTCCAAAGGACTTTGACTTGAGCCAGTTGCACAGGGGCCTGGATGCTCGGCCCGAAGTGACTCGCAATGACGTGGCACCAACCCTCATGAGTGTGCCCCAGTATCGGCCCCGGCCTGCCAATCCTGATGAAATTGGAAACTTTATCGATGAAGTAAGTAAGCAAAGTCAAAAGCCAAGGAGCAACTCATCTCTGAATTTAGAAAGGAGCAGTTGTGTCGAAAGTCAGAAAATCTGAGTCTAGATTTTTTTCTTTACCACATTTTCATTTTGCATGATCCCTGAGCCCTATTTTCTTTTTTTATTTGTGTCTCAGCAGAATTTCAGAACTAATAGCATATCGCATTGGTCTTATATGCAAAGTCCATATGGTAAAACCAAGAATTGCTTGAAAGGATTTCATAGAACTAGAAATAAAATGAAAGAGGTTCAAAGTAGATCCAGTTTGGTTTCACTAATGGGTCTCTTTTTCCCTGGCCTGCCATTGCTGGTTGGGCTGCCAGAAAAATAGCATCCATATTGTGTATGTCATAAATGCATTCAGCTATAAACACCAGAAGCTTAAACAGATAGAAGTAGATTTACCTCTTGCAAATAGAAGGCTAGGATAAGCAGCCGAGGCTGGAACATCAGCCTTTTCTGTCTTCTTGCTACACGATCCAAGCATGTAGATCTTTGTTCTCATGCTTGTTGTCTTATGAGCCCAAGTTGGCTGCCACACTTCCAGGCCTTGGGTCTGTATTCCAGTCAGGAAGAAATAGGAAGGACAAGGCAGAGGGCAAAAAAAATCTTTCTTCTAGCAAACTGTTATGGAACAAGGGAGTTCAATCTAAATCAGCGGTTCTCAACCTTCCTAATGCCGTGACCCCTTAATACGGTTCCTCATGTTGTGGTGACCCCCAGCCATAAAATTATTTTCGTTGCTACTCTATAACTGTAATTTTGCTACTGTTATGAATTGTAATGCAAATGTCTTTTTGTTTTCCGATGGTTTTTTTTGTTTTCCAAAGGGGTCGCGACCCACAGGTTGAGAACCGCTGATCTAAATGTAAATAACCAGAACTGTTACAAGATTATCTCCATCTGCAAGGGAGGATGGGAAATAAAGTGTTAAATTAGTTAGTTTAGGGTAAGAAGAAGAAGAAATGAGGGTGGGAATGAGGATCTATTTCCATAAACTATGTTGCCTAACCACTTGTTCAGTTACTGGAATGGTTTTCAGGGCTTCTTTGTCTGATGGTCCAGTGGCCCACAGCAAGTCTTCATGGTAGGGGCTGGCCGTTGCTTTAGCTTCCCTTGAGAGTTGTTGTCAACAAGGACTATATACAAAGCACAGCAGTGTTGGAAGTGACCAAACCATAGCCATTCCAGATCTTAGATAAAACTAGAAACAGGAAGGGCCAGTTTTAACCACCCCTTTTAGATATATCTGGATTCTAGTCCTTTCCTCTATTCACATTCATTAGCATGTTATCACATCTGATTGTAGCTTTTTTTTAATTACAAAAATAATGTTTGCTATTTCAAAAATATAAATTCTGAAAATATATATAAGAAAAAAACCACACAAGTTCTTTCTCAGTTCCCCTGCCCCTACTCACCAGAGTTAACTGTTTACTTGGCATTCATCCTTCCAGACCTGTCCGGGCTGAAATGCATACCTACATGGACTGGTATGGCTGGCCTCATTGTTTTTAGACTCTGCCCATCCAGATTGATTGGTGCTTATATCTCCCCTGCTTACATATTTTACCATTTTAGTTTAGAGGGAAACTATTCTGCATATTTTCCCCCCAGAACTTTCATTAACAACATATCATGTGTCTCTTCCCTGGCAGTTTGTATAAATTTACCTCCTTAGTGTTAATTGCTCCTAGTGTTCTATAGGATGGTTGCGTTGTCATGCGATCTACTTTGCTTGAGGCACCAAGAGAAGGCATCTTGCCTAAGGTAACAGGTGTGTGAGATTCTTTTCATTGAAAAATTCTGTTGTCTTCCTTCTTTAGAACTTGAAGGCGGCCGATAGTGACCCCACGGCTCCTCCTTACGACTCTCTGCTTGTGTTTGATTATGAAGGAAGTGGTTCCGAAGCTGCTAGTCTGAGCTCCCTGAACTCCTCAGAGTCAGACCGAGACCAGGACTATGACTACCTGAATGAATGGGGCAATCGCTTTAAGAAGCTGGCAGATATGTACGGAGGTGGCGAGGACGACTAGGGGACTTGAGACAGATGATGGGGAGAGAAATGGGTCCCTATTCTCATGTGATGGGAAGTGTTGGAATAATTTTTTCTGGTGGTTTTTTAGCTCCTTTCACTTGAGATGAATTTCTGAGGAAGAGAGACTGTGATCAGTGATGCATTTAGGATAGTTACAATTTCCACCTCGTAGATCTAATCTGTGTGTGTTAGAGAGATTTTGACTTATTCCTTGGATTTTTTTTTCTTTCATCACACTTTACATGTGGTGATGTCCAAAAGACCCCCAAATTATAATATTGCAAAAGGTTAGTTTCAGCCTCAAAACTTTCAACTTGCATATTTTCTTAAGGGCTTTGTCTGATTTTTATAAGGAAAGGGAGGGGTCACCTGTTGTGTTGTTTTATGTGTGTATATATACATATATATATGAAATTTTAATTTTTTTGCTTTTTTTTTATCCTATCATCACTGCACTGGTGTCCCATGTTCCAATGTCCACTCTTGCTCCTGAATTTACATTGTTCCAGACAGGAGTTCACTGATTCAGAAATTATTGGGCCATTTTAGGATAAGAGGCTTGTGTCAGTCTGGCCATACCTTGACTAGGTATTGTGTACTCTTAAGACCTTTAATGGTTTTCTTTTTTCATCTCCTCGGTATGTAACTTGAAATGGGCCTCTATCCATACACTTGTTCTGAGTAAGAATGTTTGTTATATGAATGTCATTATGGGGTACTTTGGTTCTAAACAGGAGCCTTGACCAGAAAAGTGGAGTTTTCAGGTGCCACTTAATTATTCATGTTTATTTATCATGTAAACAAAAGAAAGAAACTTAGAATAGTGCCTGAAGTGTTGCAGCCAAAGAGGAAAGGTGTCTTGTCACAGCAGAGGGGGAACATGAAAAGTGGGCTTGGAAATGTCAGGAGAAATTAACACTGAGCCGCCTGGTAATTTAGCAAACTGAGGCTTAGAATGGTTGAAGTGGTTCTGCCTCTAGCCCTGACAATTCTGAAAAAAATGGAAGAATCTCAACCTGTGTTTCCTACCAGGACCTTTAGACCATGGTTTGTATTGGAAGGCCACAATCCCCAAGTGCCTGCTTTTGTTGATGGCTACAGAAAGTACTGGCTGATCTGGACACGTTTGCCCCAAATTCCCAGTGTCGTAGAAAACTGAGACTGTTAGAAAATCCAACTTTTTTCTTAGGAGCAGGGGAGGATGGCGGTAAGGAGAACCTTGATTTGGATCTCCTTTTAGTTGAAATGTGACTGTCAAGAAACTTTTGACAACCAAAAGAAGTTTTATGGAAACTGCTTTACAGTCTGTCAACTGTTTTGTGAAGGAAAAAAAATCATCCCTGCAATCACTTTTTGGAATTGTCTTGATTTTTCAGCAATTTAAACTCTACCTAATGTAGTTATGTTTAGAGCCTATTATTGTAGTTTTGAGTGTATAAGTGTGTGGGTGCTGTTAATTTTGTATTTGGAAAAGGAAAACAATTCAAGGTGAAAAATTTATTCTTAAATATTCATTTTTATAAATTTTATTAAAGAATTTTGTTAAACCATTGTCAACCTTGTTTTATTTGATCACACCACAATTCCAGGCAGGACAAATGGTAGATGAGCTGAGTCTAAAATGGAGAAAGAAGGTTCGTGTTCAGATGACTTCTCCAGAGCTTTGAGTCATTGTGTTGTGGGCAAAGTGGCGAGAAACTGGATTTATGAGGTCACTTTCTATCCATGTGGCATATATCAACAGCACAAAAGCAAATATGGCAAAATGTTTACAATGACTGCACCCATGTTCACTGCAGCATTATTCCTAATAGCCAAAAGGTGGAAATAACCAAATGTCTATTAGTGAATGAGTAGATTAAACAAAATGTAATATATACATACCATGGAATATTATTCAGCCTTAAAAAGGAGCGAAGTCCTGACACATGCTGCAACATGATGAACGTTGAAAACATGACGTCAAGTGAAATAAGCCAAACATAAAATGACAAATGATTCCACTTAAATGTAGGTACCTAGAATAGTCAAATTTATATGATAGAAAGTAGAGTAGAGGTTATTGGGGCTGAGGAGAGGGGGTGGGGAGCTAATGTTATGTGGGTACAGAGTTTCAGTTTGGGATGATGAAGCTCTGGATATGGATAGTGGTGTTGGTTGTCAAACATTGTGAATGAACTTAATACCACTCAATTGTTTACTTCAAAATGGTCAATTTTGTTATGCATATTTTACCTCAATAAAAAGAAAGTAGAGGTCTGACGTGGGAATGTAAAGTGGTTGCATAACACTGAAGGTAATTATTGCCACTGAATTGTATGCTTGAAAATGGTCAATTTTATGCCTATTTTACCATGATAAAAGGGAAAAATAGAATGAGGACCAAGAAAGATAATGGTTATATAGAGAATAAAATTAAACTGTTTATGAAGTACCCACCATATGCAAGGGCCTGTACTAGCAGGGAAATGTGACTTCTGAAAAGGACTACAGAGAAGGTAGCTGCACCCAGCCAGGAGTCTAGCCGATGAGAGCCCTGGAGAACCACATCCCTGCTTCCCTCTTGCTGGTTCTTTAGGTATTGGCCAGGCAGTATGTACTGGCAAGACAATGGAGCTATGCTGCCTGAGTTCAAATCCTGATTCTGTCCTTTCCAGCTGTGAGCTTAGACAAGTTACTTAACCTTTCCCTACCTCAGTCTCCTTATCTCCAAAAGGACGATAACTACTTCATAGGGTTGGCAATGTAAGCAAAAATAGGATGTTAGGAGAGAAAATGCCAAGCATTCCATTTCTGGACTGGATTTAATGGGTCAGATAAAACCATTAAAGTGTTTTGGGCAGGAAAACTATGTGATCCAAAGGTTGTTCTGTGAAGGTGCATCTGTTTGCAGGGATGATGTACTGGCCTGGGGAGGGGACCAGAGATGAAGAGGATTGACTGCTGTAACCAGAGACTACAAGTTGGCACCACTGGGATACGA